ATGTCAGTCGTCCTATTCTGCTCCCCACTCTGTCTCTGTGAAGCCTCTCACCGCCCCTGCACCTCTAGCCTGTACCCCAGTTCTGCATGCACAAATAAATAAATCTTTTTTAAAAAGGAAATTTAAGTACTTCAACGTCACTCTTCATGGGTTCTCAGCTTCTTGGGTTTCTGTGAGCCACCTAGGAGCATTTTACCATGTGCACGCGTCCTTACTGGGGTGCTCAATGGCTAATCCCGATGACAGGGACTAGGAGAGGGTGAGAAAGGCAACATGCATAGTTAGAATCCTCGTAAACTGATTACACACACACACACACACAAACACATACACTGCTTTGTAATAAGGTGGTCCCCAGGGAAAGGGAAGTTTCCTGGTTCCCTGCCCCACTCAAGGTAGGGTGGAGCCGGGCAGGGAGGGGAAGTTGGAAATGCTATGGAGAAGGAAGGAAGGGGGATGAGCAAGAAGACCTAGGCCAAGCACCTGGAACAGAGATATGTGAAGAAGCTGCGCTTGCTTCTCGGCCTTGGGCTTGTTCCCGGACTTGGACATGGAAGAAACACTTGAAACAGTGATGGTTGAGAGACACGTGGGGAGGCTGACTAGGGCAGACTTTACCTAGACTTGGTTTTGGTTTCTGCTCTTTTCCTTCCAGACTTGCCTGGGCCCTTCTGGGACCCCAGACAAGGCCTTAGCACTGTGGAGGTCCAGCTTTGGCCCAATCCTATTTGATTGGGTATTTACCCACAAGGGATAGGTGACTTTGGGTACTGGATTTGCGAATTATATTCTTGTTTGTTTGTTTGTTTTTAAGATTTATTTATTTATGCACACAGAACTGAGGTACAAGCCAGAGGTGCAGGGGTGGTGAGAGGATTCACCAAAAGAAGAGTGGGGAGCAGAACAGGCTGACCGATGAAGTACACTGCTGAGGGGAGCAGCGGGCAGGTCAGGAGAGGTCTGCTGCACCATGTGGTCACCGCCATGTGGGGGGCGGCATTGAACTCATGCTGACATGGCTTTAGCTTCTTAGTGCTATGCTTTAACCTGCTGCGCCACCAGGGAGGGCCCGGGAACTATATTCTTTCTTGGTTGCACACTAATTGTATTAAAGTTATTTTCTTTCTTAAAAAGGTTTGTTTATTCATGCATACAGAACTGGGGTATATTAATTTTTTTAAAGGTTTATTTATGCATAGGACAGAGGAGTGGTGAATGGATTCACCAGAGACAGAATGGGGAGCAGAACAGGCAGACTGACAAAGTACACTGCGGAGGGAAGCAACAGGCAAGACAGGAGAGGTCTGCTGCGCCATGTGGGGTGGGGAATCGAACTCACACTGAAGCAGCTATGGCCAGCTTGCAATGCTGCATTTTAACCTGTTGCACCACCAGGAGGGGCCCTATTAAAGTTAATTTCTATTGAAGGTCTTACATGCAAGAGTATGTTTTATCTTGATATAATAGAGGGCAGAACCCTATTAGAGCAGGCAAGTTTAGAGCTCCTGGGGTGCCCTTCTCCTGCCCTGTAACAGACTGACCTATGACCTGTTTGCTCTAAATTGACAGCCCAGCATAGGAGGCGCCTGGAAGAGTGGCTGACACCACTTCAGTCAAAGCCTGCGCCACCCTGGAGGGAGTGAGGTCCCAGTAAGAGCGGTTGCCAGGGAGAGGGGCACCATAAAACTCCCAGAAGTTGTTAACTGCCTGGAGTGAAGCCCCCCCCAACCTGCCCTCCATCTTTACCTCACTATAAAATAGCTAGCGATGAGGTGTTGGGGTGATTTCTTTGGAGCATGGTGCTCAGCTACTCTCAGATTAGCTTCCTGAGCTAATAAAAACACATGTTAAAGATTCCATCCCTGTTCCTTATCTTTTAGTTTTCACACACACACAAAAAGATTATTTTCTGGTGGCCGGCAAAAAGAATCCAGTATTTCCAGGCAACACCAGCAGATAGCTCTTATGT